GTTCTAAGACATCATCGTTACTCAAAACAACAAAACAGCATACCTTCCCGCCTTCACTTTCCTTGATAACCATGTAGGGTTCTGCACAGTCTCCAATCTCTCCCTGCTGAAGGACTTTCTCAATCTGCCAATAAAAACAATGTGAAAATAAAGAGCATGTGTTATAGCCACAGCAGGGAATCTATGTAACCATCACAATGATGTTTTATGACACTAATTGACAACATGGGAAGATGGCTATGATAGGTCTTTTCATCGAAAGATAACTGGAATGAAGAATATTATCCACTTTTGTTGAGGAAAAAAAAAAATCCTGAAGGCTTAAGGAAAGGGTAATAATGGTAGCTCCACACCAAACATCAGCAACAGTTACCCATGTACAGTAGGGTTATGGGTGATTTTTATTTTCTTCCTATTGCTGATCTGTATTTTCTATTTTTAAACAATAAACATGCATTGCATCTACAATAAAAATAGAATAAAAGTTATTTTATAATGCAAAGCACAGGAGACATCTATAGGAAGTGAAAAGCTCATTTTCATGATTGTTGCTTACAATGTAAAAAAGAGATACGGCCTGTCCAAAAGTCGGGTTAGGGACTGGAACCCTCCACAAAATGAATAATGAACAGAATAAATTATCTGTAATTTTCTTCCTTGTATTTCCTATTAGGGTTGCTTCTCTTGCTTTAACCATCCTGGAAGGAAACTGGAAAGCAGAGGGATCATCCAGCCGCTCTCTTTGCTAACTGGTTGATAATATGAATAAGTGCTGGAAAAACTCAAGTATTTATACCACCTTACAATAAATACTTGCCGAAGGGGAAGGGAGGCTGCATCTTCTAACTTCCTCTAAAACCATAAGGGGAAGACAGAATCACCATCAGTAGCCCAAGGCCTATTCCTGTGAGGCCAGACATGCTGCCTCCCTCCAGCCCTTTCATCAACCCTGACACCAACATTCCTCTCGCAGCACCCACCATCTCTCTGCTGGGTTCAATAATTTGCTGCAGTGGCCACATAGAACTCACAGATTGTGGGGTTTATTAGGGTAGCACCAGGCTACAATTCAAGTTCAGAAACAACGCTCAGTCTCTCTCAGCCCACCGTCTCTCAGCCAACAGTCTCTCTCAGTCTCCTGCCCAGCAGTGTGTGTCTCTCAGTGTTGCTCTCTCAGCAACATGTGTTTCTCGGTGTCTCTCTCTTGGCAGCACATGTTCTCAGGAGTGTGTTTCTCTCAACAGCATGTCTTTCTCAGTCAGCAGTCAGAGAGACTTCCCCTGCCTCTAGAAGGTCTTTTTGAGCATGGCAGAGTGGCCAAACTAACCAATCCCAACATCAGAATTCTATACACCTGAGAGAGAGCAAACTTCCTAGAAAATTACTTGGTGCCACAGTCAACAGAAATACCCCAGGTGGATAACTTTAACAGAGCTCCTTTGAGAAAACAAGGCTGCAGGAATTGATGAAATATCCATTGAGATGTTTCAATAAATGGATGCTGAGCTGAGGCACTTACTCATTTATGCCAAGTAATTTGGAAAACAGCTACCAGAGATCCATATCTGTACCCATTCCAAAGAAAAGTGATCCCACAGAATGTGGAAATTATCGAATAATATCCATATCACATGCAAGTAAAATTTTGCTTAAGATAATTCAAAAATGGTTGCAACAGTATATTGACAGAAATACAAGCTGGATTCAGAAGAGGTCATGGGATGAGGGATATCACTGCTAATGTCTGATGGATTTTGGCTGAAAGCAGAGAATATCAGAAAGATGTTTACCTATGGTTATTGATTATGCAAAAGCATTCATCTATGTGGATCAAAAAAAATTATGGATAACTTTGTGAAGAATAGGAATTCCCAAATATCTAATTGTGCTCAAGTGGAACCTGTACGTAGACCAACAAGCTGCTGTTCGAATAGAACAAGGGGATACTGTAAGGTTTAAAATCAGGAAGGGTGTGCGTCAGAGGGTCGTATCCTTTCACCATACTTATTCAACCTGTTTGCTGAGCAAATAATCCCAGAAGCTGGACTATATGAAGAACACAGCATCAAGATTAGAGGAAGTCTCATTAACAACCTGTGATATGCAGATGACACAACCTTACTTGCTGAAAGTGAAGATGACTTGAAGCACTTACTAATAAAGATCAAAGACTACAGTCTGCAGTACAGATTACACCTCAACATAAAGAAAACAAAAATCCTCAAAACTGGACCAATAAGTAGTATCATGATAAATGGAGAAAAGATTGAAGTTGTCAAAGATTTCATTTTACTTGGATGAAAAATCAACACCTATGGAAGCAGCAGTGAAGAAATCAGTCATCGTATTGCACAGGCAAATCTGCTGCAAAAGACCTCTTTAAAGTGTTGAGTAGCAAAGGTGTCACTTTGGTGACTAAGGTGCCTAACCCCAGCCATGTTATTTCAATCACCTCATATGCATGTATGATGGACAATGAATAAGGAAGACAGAGAGTTGATGCTTTTAAATTGTGGTATTGGAGAAGAATACTGAAAATACTATGGGCTGACAGAATAACAAACAAATATGTCCTGGATGAAGTGCAGCTGGACTATTCCTTGGAAGCAAGAATGGCCAGACTTTGTCTCATCTACTTTGGTCAGATTGTCAGAAGGGACCACTCCCTGGAGAAGGATATCATGCTTGGTAAAGTGGAGGGTCAACAAAAAAAAGGGGAATACCTTCAACAAGATGGATTGACACAGTGGCTGCAACAATGGGCTCAAGTATAGCAAGGATCGTGAAGATGGCACATGACCAAGCAGTGTTTCATTCTGTTGTACACAGGGTCACTATGAGCCAAAACTGACGCAATGGCACCTAACAACAACAATATTCATCTGTTGATGGGCATTTAGGTTGTTTCCACTTTCTGGCTATTGTGAATAGTGTGCTGCAATGAACGTTGGTGTACAAGTCTCTGTTTGAGTCCCTGCTTTCAACTGTTCTGGTTTCTACCTAGGAGTGGAATTGTTAGGCTGTATGATAATTCTGTGTTTTCTTTTGAGGAACCGCCAAACCATATTTCACAGCAGCTATACCATTTAAAATTCCCATCAGAAACAGATATGAAGGTTCCAATTTCTTCTCCACAGCAGCACTTTGAGATCAGTGTATATTATTCCCACATAACAGATGAGAAAACTAAGCCTGAGAGAGATTAGCCTGAAGCCTGAAGTCATATTGCTACTAAGCCGCAAAACCAGGATTCAAACCTAGGGCTGGATGAATCCAAAATGCCTCATCTTTCTAGTATTAGGCACAGAATATTCTTCTATTGGGGAGGAGAACTGAGAAGGAAATAATAGAACCTCACAGAAGACAAGAAGACACTCTCTGACACCTCTTTCATGGGGACATCAGAATATGCAAATCAGATCATGTTTAACTACCTTAACAACTAGGTAGATGTCTGAGGATGGGTAGGTGACCGAGAATACTGCAGATTTCGCCTGGCTTGACGGGGCCACGGAGGGGGTATGAGCCCGCAGAAAGCCTTTGAACTGATCCGAGTTCAGGTCACAGTGGAAATTTTCTGAGATCTGTAAATGAGAAGCAAAGTGCACAATAAGTTACACTCAATATTCTCATGGTCTAAAAATGGTTTTAAAAAAAGAAGAGTGAAAAAGCACAGGAATGAGTGTAATCAAGGATGTGCTTCACGATGAGTCACTGTTGGAAAATCCGAGAAATATTTTGCAATAATTTTTAGATATCTGGACACCTTTTGAGAGAGATTCCTTGAAACATTTACATTTTTATTAACCAGCGGGTATGTCCTGAGTACCAATGAAGGTAAGAAACAAAGAGAGAAACTTCCTGTTCTTTCAGTGGGTGGTTCTCAAAATGCTCCCCGAGCAGCAGCAGCAGCTTTACCTGAGAGTATCCAGCAATGCAAGTGCTTGGGCCCTACCCCAAACCAAAAAAAAAAAGCCAAACCAGGTGGCATGGAGTCAATACCAACCCATGGCAACCTCATGTGAGTCAGAGGAACTGCGCTCCATAGGGTTTTCAAAGCTGGGACTTTTCAGAAGCAGACTGCCAAACCTTTCTTCTGAGGTGCCCCTGGGTGGATTTGAACAGCCAGCCTTTTGGTTAGTAGTCAAGTGTTTAACTGCTGCATCACTCAAGGAGTCAGATCTACTAAATCAAGAAGTCTGAGGGTGGGTCCCAGCAATCTGTGATTTACTAAGCCCTATAGGGGCCATGGTGGTGCAGCACTCAGTGACTGACTGACTGCCAACCAAAAGGTTGACGGTTCAACTGAATCTAGTGGCTCCGTGGGAGAAAGACCTGTCAATCTACTTCTGCAAAGACTTTTGTTTCAACTCACAGTGACCTCATGTGCAACAGAATAAAACACTGCCCCATCCCGGGTCATCCTCACAATCTATGTTGGAGTCTATTGTTGCAGCCACTGAATCAATCCATTGACTATAAAGAGTACAGTCTAGGAAACCCTATGGGACAGTTCTCTGTCACATGAAGTCACTATAACCCAGAAGCGATTTGGCTGCACCTAACAACAACATAAGGTATTTTGGTAAGTGTTTGAGAACTGCTTTATACCACTGAATTGGGAGTCTATTTGTTACAGCCATTAACCTACCCTAATACAAATCTCGAAGGAGCCCCTGGTGATGCAGTGGTTAAGCACTCAGCTACTAACTGAAAGGGTGGTGTTGTGAACCTACCAGCTGCTCCACAGGAGAAAGTCTGCTTCTGTAAAGATTTATAGCCTTGGAAGCCCTACGGGCAGTTCTACTCTGTCCTACAGGGTTGGTATGAGTCAGAATCAACTCCATGGCAATGGGTTTTACAAATATCAGTGGTTATTAATATTTACTCAAGAGACACGTGTTTTCACAAGTCCACAATGGTTATAGGTGAAGAGAGGCCAACTTGCTCTAGTTTTGCTATTTTTGTTCTCTTTTAAGAGTTTACAAGACAACTAACCACAAAAACACTCAAAAGGATTCTTGGGTCACTGTATTCTTTTTAGCTCGAAAGCACACTACACTTGGTGAGGGCTTCATCAGTGGCGAATGAAGATCTTTACCACCAAGATGACTTCCAGTAACAATGAGCCCATGTCACAGTGCAAAACAGTCCCAAGCTGAGGAAACATTCCGTGCCTACCCCAGCTTGTCCACAACGTAATTAATTGCTTTGTTTTACACTGTGCCTACTCTTTCATTTCTCTTTGTATCCCAACCTGGCCACCACCTTCAGCAGGTCTTTCCCTTAAAGATTCTGCAAAGAAAAATGGCCAGTGTACCCAGACCATCTGTCCAAAAATTGCCAAGGCCTCAGACCCATCAAAGGTCACATGCTTTCAAACCCAATGTGTTTTTGCTGCACTGAAGTGAGATTTACAAACAGGAAGCCAGAGTCACGGTTGATCTGCGTGCCTCACAAATGGGGTATCACAGGCCTTAGGATTTGGGCTGCTTACCTTTTTCCGCTCTTTAACATCATAGAAGGCAAAGCTGGCGAACAGAGGCTCAATTTCAATCTCAAACCTGTGCAAGAAAGAAATAAATGTTGACAGGGTTGAGACTTAGCTAATTTTGAGTTTTCTGCAAGTAATGGTTAAAAATGCACATAGGAAATGGTTAAAAATGCATACATATTTGGATAACTCCATGCACATGAGAATCACATTGGGATATTAACCCATTGCTGAGGAGTTCATTCCAATTCATAGCACCCCTAGAGGACAGAGTAGAACTGCCCCCAAAGGGTTTCCAAGGCTGTCAATCTTTACGAAAGCAGATTGCCACATCTTCCTCCTGAGGAGTAGCTGGTGGGTTTGAAACACTGACCTGTTTGTTAGAAGCCAAGTGCTTTAGCCACTTGGCCACAAGGGAATCGACTCAACGGCAACAGGTTTGGGTTATTACTTGGATATTAGTAATAATACAGGACACTCATGGGAAATTCCTCACCAGTTGAAATCATGATGGATAATACACTCACCTGAAAAATGCTTGGGGCAAACTCCCAAAGAGTTTGTCAAAATGCAAATTTCCTGGTTCTACCTCACTGAACCAGGATCTCTTATGGTGCTGGTGGGGGAGGTAAGGTCTCCCAAACCTTGCATTTCACACAAGCTCCCTATGTAGATTCTATACCCACTGAAGTTTCCCCCCCAGAAGATCCCTCCATGAATGAAATGGCGTTACAGTTCAAATTAAAAGATCTTTCTCTCCCTCAAAACACAAAGTAGAAAAATACTTTTGTTGTCTTCTTTTTTTCTCACTACTCTAAGTATTTACAATGTAGTATTAGATCTCATTCCTTCTCGATCCTTAAGGCTTTATATTTCACTCAAAAGCAAAACTCAAACATTCCTATATTTCAACAAGTTCTTAAAAATTCCCTCGAAGATAAAATCTATAGGATTAGAAATAGAATCCTACCATTAATGTCCATTGGGAAATGTGTGGTTTTAACACTATGACTGAATTTTTTCTATTCATATTTTAACCTTTTAGATTTATTACAAGAATTTTCTTTCTTTTATCCAGTTTATTCAAAGTTGTAGGACATGATCTTGGTCCATCTCTCCTCTTGCATGCTTATGTTAGTTGGATACGATTTAAGACACACATGGGGTCACCATGAGTCAGAACCAACTCCAACTGGTTTTTAAGTAGACCAAGTATACCAGGCAATATCTCAATTCTATTTAATTTCTCCTTTTAAAAAAAATCACTAGAAACTGCACTTGACAATTTCCCTGGAGAGAAATCCAAGTGACTCCAGTTGTGTTTTTATAGCTCATATGTATCTTAATGGGGCATGTTTTCCCACTGTGAGAGCAGCTGCAGCTTGTTTATTGGAAAGCTCTAGAAGGCTTGGTGACAAGCATTAGGGGAGAATTCCTCTGTCCCAAACAGCAGAGTCACTACATTTAAAATCGGCCTGGCCAGGCATCCTGTGGGGGCAGGGCGAGTGCTCTGACAATGTTGACAGTTTCCTAAAGGACACTCCAGTCAGGTCACCATTCAAAGTGTGTTGGCACAGAAGCTGGATGACCCTCGAAACTGTCACCCTGAGATAATCTTACCTTAAATCAAAACTATCCCCTCAAGTCTTCTAAAACCCAACAACAGTCTAGCTTAACCAGTAAAGAAGGTCTGTCTTGAGCTTTGTGCTCTTTTAAGAGCTATCTCTGTGGGATCAAATGGACAGCAGCAACTCCGAAGGTCAGATAGGGGGGCAGTGACTCTATGTCAATAGGGGAGAAACAACCCAGAAGGGAGGATGAGAGCGGTTCCACAGCTCGAAGAATGTCATCAATGTCACTGGATTACGCAAGTAGAAATGGCTGAATTGGTGTATGTTCTGCTGTGAGTTTTCACAACAACAAGAAGAAATAAAACAAATTATTTAAAATAAATAAATAATGATAATTTTATAAATACATAATATAATAATAAGACTATCATTCAAGCTCTGATGATAAAGACTAAAAGGTAAGGTGAATCTTAATGCCATAGCTGGTGTGTTTATTGATACTCACTTCAGGGTCAGCAACTTGACCAGTATTCTGTTGCCCAGATGTTCCTTAGGACATTCTGGTACCGGACGTATTTCCACAGCATCCTCCTATTAGTAATCACATTGCAAAGAAATCATGAGTGGATTTCCTGACAGGGTGGATGTGCAGTTGGAATTAGCTGAGAAGGGAAGGCTGCCACCGCTGCCCAAGGCAATTTGTGTTTGTTTGCTTCCAATAGCAGGACAACACTCTAACTTTTACAAGGCAGTTGATTCTCCAACCCCCAACCATCAGAGTCAGCATTTACAGCAAGCCTTTTCTCTTTTCAGAAACCCAAGCTGGGAAGACAAAGGGACTGAGGGAGGAAGGAAGGAAATGGGAACACGGCTATGACTTAGGAACATCCACCAGCTGGCACTGCAAAATTTCACACCTGTTGTTCATTATTTTTATTTATTTATTTATTTTGCCTGCTCCGAGTACTCATGCAGAATATTTCTCCTGCCAAAGGGCATGACTAACTGTAACAGTCTCTTTCTCCCTTCATTGTTTTTTTAAACAGACAATAGAGATTTAGGATTTAATTTACAGCTTCTATCTGATGGCGTAGTTCCTAAGGCATTTGACTGCTAACCAGAAGACTGGAGGTTCAAACCACTCCTTGGAAGGAAGACTGGGCAATCTACTTCCGTACAGATACTGCCTCGGAACCCCAAGGAAGGGTTGCTATGAGTCGGGATCGACTCAATGGCAGTGAGTGTGGTTTTGGTTTATACAGATAACAGCAGTGAGTTTGGTTTTGGTTTATACAGATCTGCCTGGTAGAACTGCTGAAATTCTAAGTATAAAAGCCACATAGTGACAAATTAAAAGATACATATGCTTATTTTACCATGCAGGGCTAAAGACTTACAGCTACATCAAGTCCTTATTGTGACTTTTTCTCCACCTGTCTGTCCGCATGTTATTCTGTGGTGACTTGCATGTGGCTGTGATGCTGGGAAATATGCCCCTAGTATTGCAAATACCATCAAGGGTACCCAAGGTGGACACGTATCAGCGGAGCTTCCAGACTAAGATAGCCTAGGAAGAAAAGCCTGGTGATCTACTTCTGAAAATTAGCCAAAGAAGGCCCTATGGAGCAAAAGCAAATTTCTGTTATGTTGTTCATAGGGCTGCTATTCACAGGAGATGGCAATAGCAACTACTGTTAACTTGTAACATTTAAATCTGAACTACCACTGTGTCTTAATTATATTAATCTGTGGAGTTCCAGTGGCTTAGTGCCTAAGGCACTTGACTGCTAACCAGAAGGATGGTGGTTCAAACCCACCAGCCACTCCTCAGAAGGAAGATTGGGCAATCTACTTTCGTAGTGATATCACCTTGGAAACCCAAGGAGGGGTCACTATGAGTTGGATCCGACTCCACAGCAGTGAGGTTTTTTTTTTTTTTTTTTTTTTTTTTTTTTTTGGTGTGCAAAGATAAGGTCCCTGGGGGGCAAAAAACAGTTCAACATTCAGCTGCTACCTGAATGGTCAGCAGTTGGAACTCACCTAGAAGGTACTTCAAAACAAAGCCCTTGCAATCCGCTCCCTCACAGCCTAGAAAACTCTATGGGGCAGTTCTACTTTGTTACGTGGGGCCACCATGTGTCAGTTTCGACAGCATGGAACAACAACAACAGAGATCATATAATTAAATTTCTCGGCATTATGGACTGCTAGACAGTGACAATGAACGTCATATTTTCCCTCCAGCTCTCAGTGTCTCCCCCACAACCCCCAGCCTGAGACATGCACCCACCTCGTCTACCGAGGGGTAAAGAGCGAAGAGCTCAGCCGGCCGATTGGCCCTCCGGGCCTCCTCATTCTGACGCTCAAAGTCCTCGGCGCTGACGCATTGCAGGAGGTTTTCAAGCCGCTGGTCAGGCTGCAGACTGCGGAGGTCAAAGTCACAGGCAGTGAGAGGACCTTTCCCAGACGTGTCACACAGCACGTGCAAGCTGCGGGGGCCTGTCTGTGCAAGAAGACATGCCTTTGTATGAGACAATGTGGTCGAAAATGAGGCTCAGAAATCTAGGATGTCCCAAGACTGCTCCAACTTGGGCCTACAGAATCTAAGGTCTCAAAAACCAAACCAAACGCATTGCCATCAAGTCAGATCTGACTCATAGCGACCCCTCCTTGAGTTTCCAGGCAGTATCACTACAGAAGTATATTGCCCAACCTTCCTTCCGAGGAATGGCTGGTGGGTTTGAGCTGCCAGCCTTCTAGTTAGCAGTCAAGGGCCTCAAGGAGTTTGATAAAAACGATGCCTTCACTCATAGATCTGACTATCACCAAATGAAATCTCTCTTTTCCAGTCCTGGGATGCATGTAAGCCAGACTTTGAAGGAAAGTTTGAAAATAGCACCACATTCCAATGAGTTCTGGAGATCTGCTTCTGAAAAGTTACAGCCTTGAAAACCCTAAGGAGTAGTTCTACTCTGCACACATGGAGTCACCATGAGTCAAAACTGACTCTACAGCAACTAACAACAACAATAACGTCTCTGGGCATGGAAGCTCCAAGGGCTTCCTGGTTGTTAATAAACATCAACAATACATGTGGGAGGGTAACACATCTCCCTTAGGCACACTGAGGCTCTGCATAGGGAATCCTTCCAGACCTCCCCTCTGGGTCTCTTCATTTGTATCCTTTCTGTTGTAGTAAAAACTATAATACTAAGCACAGTGCACTCTCGACTTCTGTAAGTCATTTTAGCACATTATTGAACCTGAGGGAGTAGTGGGAGCCAGCATGGCAGAAGTGAGGGAGATCTGAAGACCCCCAGGTTTGTGACTGGCAACTGAAGTCTTGGGCAGACCTGGCAGGCTGTGACTTCTGAGGTCTGGCTGAGCTCCAGGTGGTCAGGGTTAGAGGAAGTGCTGCAGGTGTAAGGGAATTGGACTTGGATCAATAGAGGTCACTCAGTTGGTGTCAGAGGAACGGAGTTGATTATAAGAAGTGGAATAGATTTGATGGACAATGCTGTACCATAATTACCATGTTTTCCAGGGGAGGAAATGGAAGCACAGTGGGGTTAAGGATCTTGCCCGAGGTTATAGTGTTGGATATAGCATAACTATAAAGAGAACTGGGGCATACTGGCTTCAGAGCCTGTTAATCCCTCTGCAGAGCTCTGGTGGCACAATGGTTCAGCACTCGCTACCAACAATAAAGGTTGGCAGTTCAAACCTACCTAGTGGCTCTGCAGGAGAAAGACCTGGTGATCTGCTCTTATAAAGATTACAGTCTAGAAAACCCTAAGGGGCAGTTCTAATCCATCACTATGACTCGAAAATCAACTGGGCAGCACCCAACAACAACATGGCCTAGTAGTTACTTAGAAGCCCTGGTGGCACAGTGGTTAAGCACTTGGCTGCTAACCAAAAGGTTGGTGGTTCAAACCCATGAGCCGCTCAGTGGGAAAAAGACGAGGCAGTCTGCTTCCATGAAGAAATCCTATAGGACAGTTCTACTCTGTCCTCTAGGGTTTCTATGAGTCAGAATCAACTTGACAGCCATGGGAACTTGTTTTTTATTTATCTATCACAAAGGAACCCTGATGGCGCAGTGGTTAAAGCACTTGACTGCTAACCAAAAGGTAGGCAGTTTAAAGCCACCAACCACTCCTCAGGAGAAAGATGTGGCTTCAATGAAGATTAAAAACCAAACCAAACTCACTGCTGTCAAGTCTGATCTGACTCACAGTGACCCCTCCTTGGATTTCCAACGTGGTATCATTGTGAAAGTAGATTGTTCAATCTTCCTTCCAAGGAGTGACTGGTGGGTTAGCAGTCAAATGCCTTAGGTACTATGCCACCAAAGATTACAGCCTTGGAAACCCTGTGAAGCAGTTCTACCCTTTCTTCTAGGGTCACTGTGAGTTGGAATAGACTCAGCAGCAATGAGTTTTTGGTTGTTGGTGGCAGAGTGGTTAAGTGCTGGGCTGCTAGCCCAAAACTTGGCAGTGGGGACCCACACCAGAGGCTCCAACAACAACATCCTGCCTTGGAGACTCCACTGAATTGCTGCAGGCATTGTTACAGAGATGGGCCTGAGCTGCCCCCACCCATCAGCTAGAGCCCCACCACTACCATCTACTTACTGAGCTCCTGAGTTTACATTGAACACCCTTTATGTAGATACAAAAAAGTCTGGGAAGTCAGTGTCACCGACTCAGATTGTTCCCCCTCCTCTTTGTAACATTCTGCCAGACTATCCTTTATTCTAGTTAAGCCCACAGCAGAACCCCGTAGGGACCAGATGGCCCAGAGGACCTCGTGTGGAGGGGAAGTACCTGAGCGCTGCTGGGCTCTGTGCACTCCAAAGTCTCTGACTCAAATGTCTGCTTCTGCAGGGTCTTGTGAAAGTCTTTTCTGGATCCAGTCTTCTTAAAACCACAGCTCTCTGAACCCCCTTGATTTCTTTCATGGTTATGATTATTTAATATGTGAAGGGAGAGACAGAAGACAAAGACATGCAAAACTGTTAGATTCACATGAAAATAAGAGCTTCCAGTGGACTTGGGGCTAAAAGTATCTGCAAAGAGAGGACCTAATAAATCATCACATCTACTTATGCCCCACCAGGCCCTATTGTCATGACATACAAGCTAGCAGATGCCACTCAGAGGGGAGGTCATTAGGCTGTGGAGCATTTGGCTGCCAGCTGAAGCCAGATGATGACCTCAGTGTAAGAGGCTTGGATAAATCTAGCAGTGCCTCTCCTTGGGTTTCCGAGGTGGTATCACTATGGAAGTAGATTGCCCAACCTTCCTTCCGAGAAGTGGCTAGTGGGTTTGAACGGCTAGCCTTCTGGTTAGCAGTCAAATGCCTTAGGCACTACACTACTAGAGCTTCCATAGCAGTGCACAGAAGTGGCAAATAAAGATTGTTTGAAGATAAAAACAGAAGAAAATATTTTATCTGCACAGCCCTGTGCTTAAAAAAATGAATACAAAAGGAAGGGGCGTGGTTAAGAAAAAAAACAGAAATTGGTGCTTTAGCCATCAAAAATCTTTGCTAACATTTTCAAGCTACACTCCATCAATACTAGCAAAGGTTGTGTTTTTTTAAAAAATGTGTAGCATGGAAAGGGCATAAAATACAATGTCTAGCACTTTCCCCGAGAGAAAGAAACTAGAGCCTCCCGGAAAAGGCAATAAACCTAAGTTGTCAAATTATAACTACAGAAACCAGCAGGTGCGCTACTCCCTATTTTATGACTCAAAGGCTTCCAGGAAAACATGCAGCAAAGCCAAATGCACAAACATGCTGCCATCTTGCCTGAATTCCCACATTATGAAAAACACCATGGACTAGGTTGGTAAAGAGATGTCAAGGGAGGTTAAGGATTTATTAGGCAGCTCAAATAGCAAACCCAGAAAGTGGAAAATGTAGGAGAGCTGGGAAATATCCAAATGCAGTGTTTAGAACTCTTTGGCATGGAGGGTTACACACAGTGGTGAACACAGAGCAGGGGCTCGCTGACTTCTGGTTGATTGGATCAAAGGAAAATTACAAGGTCCCAATGTCACCTGTAGGGAGGATGGTACTCTCTCCTTGGATATCACTGTGCTTTGAAGACAAGCAATTTTTTTTTTTTTTTAGTAAAAGGATACAAGGAACAGCAAAGAAGAGAGCCAAGACACCTTGGTGATTCACTCAATTTCTCCTGGTCATCTGGGTTAGTGGTTAAAACATTTGGCTGCTAACCTAAAGGTTGGTGGTTCAAACCCACCAGCCACTTTGTGGGAGAAAGATGTTTCTATAAAGACTGACAGCCTTGGAAAACCTATGGGGCAGTTCTACTCTATCCTATAGGGTTACTGCGAGCCAGAATCGACTCGATGGCAGCACGTTGCCTTGAGTTTTAACCCAGACCTGTGGAGCTGTGGTCCCTGGGAAGTGCAAATATTTAATGCATTCAGCTACTAAGCAGAAGGTTGGAGGTTAGAGTCTACGCAGAGGCAACTCAGAAGAAAGGCCTGAAGATCTAATTCCAAAAAAGTCAGCCACTGAAAATCCTCTGGAGCAAATTTAACACACAAGGCGTCACCATGAGTCAGATGCAATGGAAGTTTTTTTGTTAATGACAACACAGTGAGACACTGAAAAATCCCCGTTTATGGGGGAAAAAATGCCCAAAGGAAAGAAATGATATGAAGTAGTTCTAAGATTTAAAGCAAACAGTGCATTAAAATTCGATTTTCACTCTTTATACTTGCCCTTTGTCTGTTTTAGGATCTGTATATGCTAAGCAGTGTTGAGGGATGTTCAGGGTCATATGTCTCTTCTCAAAAGAATCATCTGGGCCTACAGAAGTCTATTGCAGGAAGTAGTAGCACTAAAGGCCTGTTGTATGCTGAGCTTAACGACCAGAACTGTGTCTGCTTTAATTTTACTTTGTGTCTCATAAAAGGAATCTATTTACTAGAGTGCTGACTTACAGATGAACATTAGCCACACGTGCACACACATGCACATACACATGCATGTATGCAAACACACACATGCATACACACACACACAGAGGGAGACATGTGCCTGCATCCATGAAGGTCAGTGGTCATCCTCCAGTCTCTTTTCTCTGAACCTCTGTCTCTTCATCAGATGAGGCAAGAACATGAGGTGACTTCTAAGATTTTCCCCTCAGTTTAAAGATTTTAGTATAAAAAGTTCATACACCATACCTGAAGTACTTAAAATTAAATTTTCTGCTCAAAAGATGCATACATTGTGGGGGCCTGTAATATATTTTGCTATCATCCCCTTTGTTGTTTTATGCAAACAGGCACTTACTCTCCTTTTAGCCTTCCATTTTCCTAAGTGTTTTCTGGAACTCTTTACATGGGCCCTGTCTTAGTTCTCTAGTGCTACTATAACAAAAATACCATAAGTGGGTGGCTTTAACAAACAGAAATTTATTCTCTCGCTGTTTAAGAGGCTAGAAATACAAATTCAGGGTGCCAGCTCTAGGGGAAGGCTTCTTAACTTTGTTGACTCATAGTTTGGGAGGAAGGTCCTTATCTCCTGTCAGCATCTGTGGGCCCAGCATTCCTTGGAGATCTCCATGTGTCTAGGCATCAGTCTTTCCCTGGATCTAGGAGGTTCTCAGCACAGGGACCCTGAGTCCAAAGGATGCAATCCACTCCCAACTTTTCTTTCTTGGTGGTAATAGGTCCCTCTCTCTCTGCTTGTTTCTCTCTCTTTTTAATCTCTTATAAGACACAGGTGATACAGGTCACACCCTAGGAAAACTCCCCTTACAGCAAATCAGGGTTGTGACCTGAGTAAGGATGTTGCAGCATCCCACCCTAATCCCTTTACAAGTGATTGACTGATCACATCATGGGGAATCAGTACATCATTGCATAACTGGCAAATTACATCACTACATAAATACCAATGAGAACATGGCCCAGCTAAGTGGACACATATTTTGGGGGAACACAATTAAATCCATGACAGGCCCCAAAGCCATTGACAAATGACTATTTAAAAAAAAAAAAAAAGTTACAGGATATGATTAAAAGTTTATGTCACAATATATACTCTCTAACCTATATATGGAGTCCTCTCTCACTGCTGTTGAATCACATCTGACTCATAGTGACCCTTCCTTGGGTTTCTGAGGTGTTATCACTACAGAATTAGATTACCCAGCATTCCTTCTGAGGAGTGGCTGATGGGTTTGAACAGCCAGCCTTCTGGTTAGCAGTCAAATGCCTTGGGCACTATGCCACCAGACCTTCTATGGAGTCCTTTAGAGAGGTGCAAACAGTTAATTCATTTGGCTGCTAACCAAAAGGTTGGAGGTTTGAATTCACCCAGAAGTGTCTCAGAAGAAAGGCCTGGTGATCTGCTTCCAAAAAATCAGCCACTCAAGTAGTAACTGGGATCTTAAAAGCTAGCAAGCTGCCATCTAGATGCAACGATGGGTCTCTTCTCATCCAGAGCAAAGAAGAATGAAGAAAACCAAAAATTAATGGAAACAATTAGTCCTAGAGACTGGGACACCACCCAATCTGCAGCCTATACAACTATGAGACCAGAAGAACTAAACGGTGCCTGGCTACCACTGTCATCTACTTGGAAGGAGATCTATGTAGGAGATCCTCGATAGAGAGGGAGAACAATGTGGAACAAAACTCAGTATCATTTAGAGAAAGAAAAAGGGGGGGGGGACCAGGTTTGCTGGTCCAATAGAGCCTGTGGAACCACTGAGACTATGGCCCCTAGCTGCCCATCAGCTGGAATTGAACCCACACCTGTAGCTTCCAGCCAAACAAAAAAAACAGTCATATGAGTTGAACATTTCCCTGAAGTAGGTACACTACTTGGAGAGAACAATCATGGGAGAAAGAAGGGCTGCTTATGAACAGGGAGAAATCTCAGGGGGCAGGAGTGCATAGAGGAATGGACACAGGGAAGAGGTAACTATCGGGAGGAAGTGGAAGGGGAGCTGTTGCACTGTGGTAAATTGTAGTCAATGTCATGACACAAAGTGTATGTGAATTGCTGTATGGAAAGTGAATTTGCTCTGTAAATTTTCACCCAAATCACAAGTAAAAAAAAAATATATATATATAGGGAAAAAAAAAAAAATCAGCCACTGAAAACCCTATGGAGCACAGATCTATGCTAAAAGACGTTGGGTTGCCATGAGTTGCCGTGAGTTGCCACAAACAGGCTTTTTCTTAACCTCTATATACATCACCTGACTGTGGAACAGACCATCAACAGCTCATACGCAAGTTCAAGTTGAAGCTGAAGACAATTAAAACAAGTCCACAAAAGCCAAAATATGACCTTAATTATATCCCTCCTGAAATTAGAGACCAACTAAAGAATAGATTTGATGCATTGAACACCAACAACCGAAAACCAGAGGAACTGTGGGATGACATTAAGAGCGTCATTCATGAATAAAGGAAAAGGTCATTAAAAAGATAGGAAAGGAAGAAAAGACCAAAATGGATGTCAGAAGAGACTCTAAAACTTGCCCTTAAATGGAGAGTAGCTAAAGCAAATAGAAGAAATGACAAGATAAAAGAGCCGAACAGAAGATTTCAAAGAGCAGTTCGAGAAAACAAAGTCAATTATTCTAATGAAAGGCACAAAGACCTGGAGTTAGAAAAACAAAAGGGAAGAACATGCTCAGCATTTCTCAAACTGAAAGAACTGGAGAAAAAATTTAAGCCTCGAGTGGCAATATTGAAAGATTTTATGGGCAAAATATTGAATGATGCAGGAAACATCAAAAGAAGATGGAAGGAATACACAGAGTCACTATACCACTAAGAATTGGTCAATGTTCATCCATTTCAGGAGGTAGCATATGATCAAGAACCAATGGTACTGAAGGAAGAAGTTGAAGCTGCACTGAAGGAATTGGCAAATAACAAGGGTTCGGGAATTGATGG